ACTTTACATTGACTGTTTATGGTTCAATGTGGGCGTGTAGAGGGTAGAACCTGAGGCGGGACCTCGTGCGCAAACTCTGACGTGCGGCTGTGATTTATAAAKGAAAGATGCGCAGAAACGTGCGTACGCACTGTTTTATAAATCTGAATATTTTTGGCGTACGTCATTTCCGCCTTTTGGCCGTACGTTCACTTTTAGTATGGTTTCCACGCAATCCTTTATAAATGAGACCCCAGACCATTCCAGTGTGAGAGTGGGGTTTACTACTATCAGAAACTTCTAATTTACAAATTAATTAAAAGATGTCAACAAGGGAAGACATCCACCCAGCCAGTACACAACAAAATTCATTTAACAGTTAAGAAAGTGGATTTTGCACGATATTTCCCCTTTAACCACAGAATGCTATTTCWGTGATGCTACTATTCAGCCCAAAATGACAATGACTAAAGCGAAACAGATATTTCTGTACTAGTTTTCCTCTACATGTTAATTTCAAATACGTGTTTGAAAAGGGAAGTTTTGAAACATTATATTATGATCTTATTTTACACCACAAAAACCTGCCATTTTAACAACGAGTAGATTTTCTGTATCTGCTGATTTCCCATTAATTTTTACGCAGCATTTGAAATAAGGACAACAATAAGTTACCTCAGGTGGAACTTTTATTTCAACATTCTGGGATGTGGTGGTACTACAGCAGACTTTTCACACTATGACAGACTTTACATCACTTTTTTAAAACAGTTCCAGTATTTTAAACTCAGTCTCATGACAGCAAGCACTTAACCAAGTTTTTAAAAGTCCTTGTGTGTCAGGTAATGTAATGTAGCTTAGGTGCATCTAAAAGAACACATCTGATTTCAGAAAATATTTCTCAATGCGGCTGACTACTTTAATTCCATAAATCACTCAGTGTACTCTATAATTCTATTTTTATTTGGGTGGAGGAGCATTGCGGTTCATATTTATGTTTGAAGGTATCAGTAGATTTGTGACAACGTGATTTTGATCATTTTAAAATAGATGTGTTGCTTGTTTTTAAACYGTCGTAAAAAGCCAAGGCACGGTGTAGTCTTTTGCATCTCCGTCGATGAGGCCTGATCCGTTGTTGTGAACGAACCAGCAGGGAACATTTTCACCATTCTTCAAGTCACTCCTGAAGTCTCTCTGCCAGCCTCTGTACAGGAAACGATGTCAGGATGACTCCAACAGACACACACTCATAAATCTCAGAACTAACACACACAAAGCAGTTCACATACCTGGTTACTTTGAGCTTATGTCCTTTTACGTACATGGTGGCGTCTGGTTTCTCTGGAACCTCTCCGGGACGCAAATCTGTCACCTCAAAATCAATCCCATGATAAAACTGACCTGAAGGATGATTAAGACTACATTTACTACAACTGACAACACATATCCCCACCTACTAATGAGTTTATGAGCTTATTTATTTTCTACATTYATTCCTGTTTGGATAGATTCATTCTGCTGGTTGTCACCTGATGCAGGAAATAACTAAAATTCAACATTCAAAAATTTAAGCTAAAGTCACTTTTTTTCCCTGGAATTAAAAGTCAAAACTCTGTGCTTTGTGTCATGTTGTACCTAGCAGACCATGAACAGCAGGAGACAGGAGGTGAGTGTCCAGGGTGTAGAAGCCCAGGAAGTCCCGGTGGTACGGGTGCTTCTTCCAGACTTTGTGTAGCAGAATCACAAACTTGACGGAGTCCTTTAGCGTTACAGTTAGACTACGATCCTTGGTCACCAGGAGATCCATACTGCAACAGTTTTAGGGATTAAAACGATTTATACTCATGCTGATTTAGAATTCACACTTATTAGAATGGAAGAAAAATTGTAATCAAAAATTATTTTCCGCTGAATTAAACAGGAGCCTGAGATGGTTGATATTTTGTGTATGTTCTAAAGGCAAGTAACAATTTTAGGAGAGAAAATACACTGCCTGGACAAATAAAAAAGTGTCCACCTGGGTCTATGATGTGGGGATACTGCAGGTGGTCAGGTCCAGGTTCAGCAACAGTATGAGCTCAAAGAATGAGGTCAGCTGACTACCTGAATATACTGACTGAACAGGTTATTCCATTAATGGATATTTTTTCTTCCAAGATAACAAAGCCAGAATTCATCGGGCTGGAATTGTGAAAGAGTGGTTCAGGAAGCATGAGACATCATGGATGGAAATAAATCTAGCTTATTGAAACAATGCCACATCAAATGTGTGCCGTAATCAAATCTAAACAACAAAATATTAAAGTGTCTGACCTTTCTTTTTTTTTTTTGGTGGCAACATTTATTTATTTATTTGGCCAGCCAATGTATTAATAATCAAAAATTTTGAGCAAACATAATCAAGTGAAACCGAACATAATAAATGTATAGAATGACTCACTTGTGTCCTTTAAGAGAAGCTGTGTCGCTCCACAGCAGCTTGACCAGTTTTCTGTCCTGGTAGACTGAAATGTCCTGGGTGGTCACCTCCAGCTTCACCTCTAACGTCTGGTGAACAATGCCAAACTTCCAGAAATAGGTGTTGATTTTCCCATCGGGGGGAATCATCTTGTCTCCAATGACCTGGCCATTGACCAGGATACCTGAGAAAACATTGGTGAAATAGTCACTAGATTAAGCAACACATTTATTTTTATAATTGTGTATGTCATGTATAAAAAATGTCCAAAGTGAGAAAAAAAAAGATTCAGTCTTAATAGCAGTGACTGAAATTTGGGTCAGGGCAAACCTGATACTGGGTCTTTAACCAGGTTGAAAATGGTTCCTGGTAGGTCATTGATGTTGAAGCACAGAGCGTCGTTTCTGTCAGGAAGTTCAATCACAAAATGGGGATCTGCATCCACTGCAGGTAACACAACAACACAGACGTAAATTAGTACTATTGATGTCCACAACGTGCCAGCGACTCTGCGGCACATTGAACTGTTCAATTGTTCTATCACAACAGCAGGAGACATCTCGATGTTTCAGTGCAAAKATTCAAACCCTGCCCTGAAATTAAAAGGATTTTGTGGTGATGGACTAATACTCAAACAGACACATGCATTTGCTTTTGTATACTCACCAAATTGTGATGCAGGATAATAATATGGAGTTGTATGTGAGTATGACGTAGCTACAATATAAAAAAACAAGTAAAAAAAAACAATAAATACAAATTATTTTATTCGTCCCTGCAATATTTTTCATAAAGTATAAAATGACTTACCCACAGGTTGAAATCTTTCTGCCTGCTGTCTTTGCTCTGTTTAAGAAAATAGTAAAAATAAGCTGACACATTTTTCAAATGGAAATTCTAAGCAGAAAAACAACATGAACATATTGATCAGCTCCGCTGGTGAATGTGAAAGCTATAGAGAKAACTGAGGAGTGAATCTGCACTCTTGTCATTTCACAAAACATTTTGTGGGTGTGTTTTACCCTCAGTCAGTTTGTCAGCGATGAGGGGGCTGTCTGTCCCRTCCTCCATTTCAGGCTTGGTGACCACCATGGAGGTGAGGGGGGTGACAAAGCTGTACTGCAGAGACATCTCCAGGGCCTTCGCTGTGGCATTGGCTTTCTCATCTGCTCCACCACTCTTACTGGGAAGAGAAAAATACATTTGTTACCACTACTGTTCAGAACAGAAGAAAAAAGAACAATAAACTTTCTCTCCCTAATAACGTCCTCCAGATCAAAACATGACTAGGCTGGGAGATAAAGTATAATTCATCCAATAAGGAGCAGCGACTTCACTCTAAGTTCCTCTAGAACAGCTGAGCTCTTCAGCTTAACTCCCCATCTTCAGCTCCATCTTCTGCCACTTCTCCATACTCGGGTTGCAGAGGCTACCAGTCCAGGAGACACCCAGACATTCCTCTCCCCASCGACACTACAGCCCACCCTGGTGAACCCCAAAGCATTCCCAGGCTAGAGAGGATACATAATCCCTCCAGTGAGTTCTGGGTCCTCCTACAGTGGGACATGCTCTGAACACCTTTAAAGGGAGGCATCCAGGAGGCATTTTAATCAGATGCCTGAACCACCTCAACTGACTCTTTCAATGCTGAGGAGCAGTGACCCTACTTTGAGCTCCTCCTGGAAGTCAGAGCTCCTCACCCTCTCTCTAAGTCTGAGCCTGGCCACCCCATGAAGGAAGCTCTCTAAATTCTTCTAAATTCTATTTGCTCCTGCAGCCACCAAAGCTGTGCCCCTCCCGACCACCCTGTACCCCGCCATCTGCTTCAGGAGTCCTCCAGGAAAGCAAACATTGACACCCCTGCGCTAAGCCATCATGTTTCCCAGAACAATACCTCCACTGTATTTCAGTACGGTTTTTAAAATATGTTTTAAGGGGGAGCCAAGTGTCTTTCGTGACTTTTATTATTAACCTGCTGAGAACACAGGTATYGTGAAGCATGGGTACTGGGAGAATGGACATGATTATTCTATGATGAAAACTACAGTAAATTACTCTACTGAAAATGAGCATAGAWTATTATTATTAGACTCTTCTCACACAATGGTTTATAACCCTGAATATTACACAATATCCTACTTTTGTCAACATKGCCAGTACATGACAGAAATTATTGCAACATAAAACTTATTTCAATAAGTGGAATTTGGTGAAAATGACCTCTTCTCTAGTAACTGCTGAATGGTGAGGTAGGCCCACAGACGCTCAGTGAAATCTCCAAAGATGTAACTCTCATCAGGGTACAACACGTCCAAATCAACAACCGTGGCCTGACCCTGCGCCTTAAAGTCCTCTTCAAACTACAGAAGGAAGAGAACATTTTTATATTTTCATTTATTCAAAAAACTGAATAATTAACACTCCATTTAACAGCTTGATTTCTCTACATCTCAGATAGTTCTAGTTTCTCACCCCCTGACCGAACACTTCCACCAGGAAGTTATCCAGTTCGTTGTCTGACAGCCGACCAGCCACCACAATCTCTGAGCCATTAAACAATTGGCTGAAGTGACTGGTGGTCACAGAGTCCACTGCATTGTCTGGATACTTCAGGTCCACCTCCAAGAGCAGCGGGCTGGACACTTCCTCATAGAAACCCTAGAAATAAAAGGTTACACTGTAGACACATACTGTATTCAAATGTCTTTAAAACAATCGGTCATTTTGCAAAACGTAAATGAAAACACAATGCAATGATTTTTTTATTTTATAAACTTCTTTTATTTAATGAAACGTAGTAAAAATGGAAAAAAATAAGAAACTGTATCACTTTAACACACACACATACACACACACACACACACACACACACACACACACA